TACTTGTAGACATAAAAGAGAAGTATTTTGACGATGGATTTTGTGCAACCTTTGTTTGAACCAGCGAGCGGGGTTATAAGAGTTCCGCAACAGTATCTCTTGTATACCCAAGCACACACATATTATGTTCATTACATCCTGTTAACAGGATAATAAACTCTAAATTAAAGAAATATTTCTTTAAACAATCACTAAGAGTTCCTGGTAAACTTGGTCCATGCTGTTGATCTTTTAGCCTGACTTCATGCACCCAGATCCGCCACACAACTGAACAGCACATCTACAAGGGCTACTTGTCTACAATAGAAGTAAGTGTCATTTTTTTCTTCATATTTGATTTTTTTATTATTCAGTGGAATTCACAACTTCTCTTTGTTTGCTTCTTCAAATAGGTGGGCGAGGAAAAGGAGTGACTTTAGCCCATATTTTGTGGTTCACTACATGGTAAGGTGAGGAACCTCTCTCAGGATTTAAGCTGCATCTCACACCATACGTGTCCAATACACCCAAACCGCTACGATTCCTCTACGCTCGTTGACGAATCGACACACCGGAAGTCGAATCGTGTGTTACCATACCGGAAGTGGAGGGAAAGCAATGTGTGAAAATGAGTAACACGGTATACCGGAAGTCGAATCATGCGTTAACGTACCGGAAGTCGAGTGGCGTGAGAAATGTAAGAAAATGAGTAGCATGAAAAGAGAAAATGACAACATGAACCTTCCACGTTCTAAAAGCGTGAAACGGCCGGAAGTCCGTTGTCAGAATATTATAAATATTACAAATGAACCTTCTTCCTTCCTAAAGCGTTAAACAGGGGAATTAAATGTTGACGAATCGACACGATTCGCACGGGTCGACTTGACTCATCATTAGTTAAGTCGATCCGTCTCTGTTTCTAATAGAAATGTAAATTGTTTGTCGTAGGTTTCCCCGGTTCTCAGAATAGAGAAATTTGGGCGATTTGACGGTGCATTTGAGGGAAAGACTGCGAAGAAGTGGAGCAAGTTATACAAAGCCCGTCAAGGGCCTCTGTTCTGC